ATTCTGTTCACGAGGAAGAAGAATAAGAAGAAAAGATGCCTCACACATACATACACACACGCACGAGGAGTTACATTGTTTCTTTTCAACAAAACGTGAAAAGCACTCATAGGATGGAAATCTCATGGTTGCAGGATCACCGAAACATTCATCGAAATAAAGAAGGAAAGGATTACAATGAATATGATCCAGTGAAATGTGCCCACCAACGATCACAACGAAGATGGGAATGATCAGTTATGTGAGAATCTTTAGTCAACCTTCGACAAATGTCCACGAAACGACCTGAATATTCTGTTAGGGGAATGAAGCTCCGAGATCGGAATGGATTACACCGGATATGAACATACTGTGTGGTGACGTGAACTGACAGGAAGTAATGAGAATGACGAGAGACTTGCAAATCTATGTTCTGTCAACAGCATGATCATGGGTGGGAGTAATTCACTCCACAAATGAATATACATAGCTAAACAGGTTCCACCGAATCACACTACACAGAACTCGATTGATTTTATGTGCATCAATAACGGCTTCAGAATGTCCATGAAGACGTAGGAATGAAGAGAGGAATTAGTGTAACTTCAGATCACCAGGTGTTGGTGGTCGATTTGGAACGGGATCTGAAGAAGTAGTGGACAGCTGGACAGACTGCATTACAAGCATTCAACACGATCTCCCTTTGACAATCTAAATAAAACTGATCAAACTCGGTATCGCTCTCTACAACAGATTCCATGTCTTACAAGATCTATTCAAAGAAGAAGAAGAAATCGCTGTGAAGTACAAGTTGGAAGGGAATAAATCAGCAATAATTCCGACATATCAGGAGTTACTGGGTCACGAGATGCTCCACCAGAATGAAGGTCTGATCTCTGTAGATCACCTGTCTAGGATTCAATAAATGGAGAATAAGAAGACAGTTGTAAGTAACAGTGGAATAAGAGCAGAGTAGAGAACTCTGAAGCACAGATTGAATAGTCAGAATCAAACGATTGAGTGAAGAAAAGAATTAGAGTTGACAAGTGGAAATGTATGGAATATTTGACAACTGTATTCGAGCAATTTGGAACTGAAAGAAGTGTGCACGAACCATGTGTTTCAAACAATAATCTCTCATGAAAGTCCAGTAGCCCAGTGTAACTTGTCATGATAATTTGTGAGGAAAGACAATCAGGGAGGTGGGATGTAGAGAAGTGCAACAGGTGTGTAGAACCCCTAGACGAATTGCCGAATAGATCACTGTTGGTGAATTTGTTTGATATCGAGGCAGTACACAGTCGTTTCTACAGAGATCACTTTACCCAACAATTGAAGAAGACAGAATGACCAGAAGTGAAGTGAATATTGGTAGAGTATCAGTAGCATCAGACAACATAGCAGTACTGAATCATTGCAGCATCGGAATAGGACATGCAGGAAACTGTAAAAATGCGCCATATTCTATTCAGAATGATTTGGTGGGAATGAAAAGTGTTGAGAAACTGGAAAGAAGTACACCTTATCAGGCTACTGAAGAAGAAGAAGATTTCAGTAGGTGTGGGAACTACAGATACATCACACTACTGTCAAGGAGTGGAAGGAATTCATACAATGTCGTTGAATATTACGATAGATTCAGTAGACTCCTAATCCCAAAAAAACTGGATTTATTGAGGATCGGTCATGCACTGACCAATTTGCAACACTGAGGATCATTGTTGAATAATTGTCAATTGTAGCACACTCATCACTATATGTGAACATTGTTGACTATGAGAAAGTGATTGACATGGTAGATGGTAGGAGTTTGTGGATTGTTGTTCAACATGATGGAGTGTCTGAGGGAGGTGGTCACCATGTTATGGAATTCTCACAATGGATTACACTGAGAATTCATGCAGCTCACAAATCCATTCAAAATGGAGATCGGTGTTATACAATGCAGTCTACTGCCAAATTTTCTCTTTGATCTGATTGTCGAGTGGATTATGATGACCTCAACATCTGAGTAGAACCACACAAAACATTGAACAGATTGGATGCAACTGGAATGTTTGTCACATTGCAAATGACTCAGTGCTCATATCACATACACAGAAATAAATGCATTTGAAGAGAGAGCGAGTGTAGCAGTGACTTCCATATCAGTATGCATTGACATTCATAAGAGAAGAGGTGAGATGTTGAAATACAATATAGTGAGTACCAAGTGAATTGTGTTTGATGGTCATGTTGTGGAAGAGATGTGATCATTTACGTGACTTGTCAGTATCACTGATAAACAAGGTGGATTTGATATAGTTGTAAGGAGATGAATTGTTAAGTCAATTGTAGCATTTGTACACGTGAAGAATATCTGTAACTAGAAACAACTGTCACATAACACAAATGTCCGAATTTTCAATACACATGTCAAAACAGTTCTATTGTATTGAGCTGAACCTTGGAGAACTACTACAACCATCATCAAAATGGTACATGCATTAATAAATATTTGTTTTCTCAATATGCACCAGATTCATGAGGCGTCATTATGAAAAACCGACCGTGGCAGATGATAAATCATCTTTCAAATGAAAAGGAATAGTTCGGTGCACTCAAAACGTTAGTGTGCTACATTTGACCATCGACCGCATAAATCTTCAGAGCAGTCGGGAAGTAGAATGATGTAAATGTTATGCCTTTCGGACTTATATAGTTTTCTGGCTAATTTCGGTTCGTGATGTCACTTAAAATTTGATAAAATCTTATACTTTATTTACTTTATAGGAATCATTCGGTCTACTGAAAATGAGTAAGTAGCTATGATAGTTTATTATAAATAATCGGTTTTTGTTATAGTTTTAGTCTGTTCATTGTGTCAAAGTTTTTTGTTTATGCGTTATAGTTTAAATGAAGTTGTCTGGGATATGCTAATCATTTTCCACTCTTTTTTGATTGCATGAATTTATGGAAAGTGCCATCCAAATCTAAGATTATGTTCTGTCATTTTTAACCTCTGATATTTCAAAATCATTACCCTTCACGTCGACTTTATTAAAGACATTTTTTTAATTAACGGCTTATTCTGTTATTATGCGTTCTGTGGATAAATTTCATTTTAGCTTCAAAATCTCGTTCTATCGTATTATAGAACTTTTTCACAGTTATTATTGTTTTTGTGACGTTTATGACATTCTCGGTGTGTACTAAATATTTTAACAACAAGATGTATATGAATAAGAGTAACCTTTTATTATATTGTTTAACAAGTGAAGGAAATTCTTCGCCGAAACAATCATTCTTACTATTTTTTTATAAGTGTCTCTATATACTTGAACTGACTAAATTGCACTCATTTTGAAAAACATATCTGTATGTACTAGGTATTTCCAGAATTACGTTTTCAAGGTTTTGTTAGGTTAGGTGAATAACCATGGATTGGTTTTCGAACGTGTAGTTTCAAAATCAGAATAATTATCTGTTATTATTGTAGATAAATCGTGGGGATTGTTTTATTTGATAGTTAGCATGATGGACTGATCATGTTACACAACCATCGAAAATCAGGAACCACCATGATGCTTTTTAATTTTTAGTATGGTGAAGATTCGTGACACCACCGAGGATCAAGTCCTGAATCTTCAGTCTCATTGCGAACGTTTAATCTTTAGATCACTGATCTAGAATTCAAGGGTTTATATATCACTATGGGGCCATGAGTCCTCACTGATAAGGAGTGTTATACTATAACGAGGTATCTACGTATTACTTCTTGGTTTCCGATGGTTATTAAATTTGGATCAATCCATGATGCTAAATGTAAAATTATCTACCAATTTATTCTGATTTAATGAATGATCAATTACTTACTGTAATAACAATCGTTTGCAGTCTTGTTGATGTTACTGTCCCTAAATAGATGTTACTCAATGAAAGCGACGAATAATAGGGCAACTTGGGGATGTTGCTTACACCAAAAATGGATCAAAAAATAATATTTTTCAATATTATGATTCATATAACCTCACAACGACTCATAGTTCGATTTTGGATAAGTTTGACTAAATAGTACTTGTCATTGGATAATCAATAACTCATTACACGAAGTCATTTTAAGGATAATGTACGATTTACTTACTACAACTAGCAATTATAACTAATTTATTGAGTTATACATACATGGTCTTTCGAAAAACTTTCCCTTTTTGAGTTAAATACGGGTAAATAAGTCCTTTGTTGAGAATTAAGTTAAGGAATCGTTACCTTCTTTTATAATAACTCGATTAATATTAGTTGGTTGAAGACTTTCACCAGAAAGGTGTGAACCATTAGAGTGCTAACTGACCTCTTGTAGGATAAAGATATGCACACTAATTCCTGATTGAGTTGTAATAGTATATTTTATTCAATACAAAGGACTAGATAAATACAACGTTGTTTACCATTCCGTAATCAGCAAGTGTACACTTTAATTAATCCTAAAGATTGACAATATTTATAAATACGTTGTAAAGTCACATTTATATTGTGGTGTGTGCTAATGATGTCGATAGATAAAAATAGTATGTATCACCAATCGACAGTGGAATGCTTGGTGATAGAAGGTTGAGAAGAACAAAGAAAAGAGAACGAGAACAGAGAGTGATTGGTATGAAAATGAACGAACAATAAAGTCTAAGACAATTGATGGACATTTTACAAATGAAACATTTACTGTATGGTTCTCAGATTTTACTATGGGTTTCTGTATTCCCTGCTTATGTTTCCGTTCACTACAATATCACCTCTTCATAATCATAATCAAACACATTGAAAATCAATACAAATCAATATAATATTTCCTGAATTGATTTTATTTTACTTTTAATTAAAAAATTACGATTCTATTGTCAAAGTTATATTCATTGCGTAGTTATTGTAAGGTATAAATAAACAATTTCATTGTAACCAATAAATAATATAAATAAACTATAGTGTAACACCATTTGTTTATTTATTTAAAGTACTAAACAATGAAACATTTACCAAGGATCACGTCAAACACGTTGATATTTGATAGTTGCTACATGCTGCTGAGATTTTATTGTCTAAAATAATTGAAAAATAAAACAATAATCAGTAATCAGGAGATTGTATAAATATATATTACATTAATGTAGTTTGGTATTATAGTCCTTAGTTCCGAATGACTTTTAATTACAATATATGTGCGATTGCTTACAAGGATGTAGCTGGAAATTCTGTACAATGTTAGTGAACCAACTGTTAATAAAGTTGTTGATAAGAATGACCGATCAAACTTAATTTATATACCTAGTGAACTCGGAATGTTGATGATTTGATGTTAGGTTGTCAGAAGCAACTACTGCTAAGTTCTAAACCTAAGTGTTTTAATGCTTATTTATCAGTAAGACAATATTAACTATACTTAGGTAGTTAGTGCTTGATGGAAAATAAGAATCTGAGCTATTCTGAATCCCAGTCATCGACGTTATCCATAACCTTTTTAGACCTCGATGCCTATCAGAAATAGGGTATTTAAATTAAGCGTTATGTTAGTAGAAATCAGGTTTATGTTGTCTAGCCATCAGTATAGGGTTACTTCTGTTGGTTGGGTTTGCAGTGAATTTAAAAAAACTTAGGAAAGAAGAAATATCAATATTATTTTTACTATGATTAATTCTCGGTTAGTACGTGGTTCTTGTTTAATAATACAGAAATAAATTCCCGTAGTTTTAGTGAGAAGTTATGACTAGTGGAGTTCAGTCTTATATGTCAGTGGGAAGGTTATCACCGATGTCAACGGACGGTCGTCCCATTGTATCATAAACTGAAGTTGAAAATACATACCATTGTGCTCTCTGAGAGACCTGAAGATACTGGATTCTATCTCACATGAATTCATGAGTGCTCATCTATGTGGAGCCATAAATCAAGGCACAACAACTGTCAAATACTTCTTGATTTTTAGTAATTCTCCAGCCTATATTATTGCTTGCTGAAAATATGACTAATATATTTGAAGGCTTTTTAAGTCATGGCTCAGCGCGTTATTTACACAAATTTCTTTTCCATGTAATTCGCTTTACTTCCGAACGAGGATATTTCAAATTGTAACGTACATAATTATTTATATTGATCTCAATATTCATGTGAATCGATAATTCCATTTTATTTTAACAACTTTTAGATCAGATTTTAGAATGTACAATGTTATGATGAAATTTCTTCACTCGATTCGTTCTTCCTTTATTTACCAAATGTCAAAATGGGAATTTTCACTATAACAATATTTGCTAAGGAAATACTCTTGAAATTACAATTTGGAAGTAAAATTATCTCAAAAGTTGAAATCATGAGTCAAATGAAGCTAGACCACCATGGAAAACCTGGAAGCACTGAGTGGCCGTTTCGTCCTAGTATGGGACTCCTCAGCAGTGCACACCCACGGCTCCGTCCCCCTGCGAGATCCGAACCCAGGACCAATCGTGCGCGAGCGCTTAACCATTAGACTACTGAGCGGGTATCCGACGGTGTTAATGTCTAACTTCAACCAATCCACGAAATTGCGTCACTGTACACCATTATCTTCAGTGAGGTGATATCTCACAACAGACTCATGACTCATGATTTCAACCATTGCAATTTCTAAAATCTCCACAAAACCCCTTCTGGTAAAGTTATCTGTTTAGTCATGGTAATATTTAGTGCTATCAGATGGTACTCTTTAATCTACAATTGTTCGATTTTACAGATTATTCAATATCACCTTCTGTATTTGTAAATTACCAGCTTAACTTCTCATGCAAATCTAGTTACATCGATTGTACACTTGGCTATTGTTATTGTATTTGAGAGCATCATTCATCATGAGTAACATCACTATTTTATTCTTTGGTACTAAATTGAGTATTTAGAGTAATTTATCTTATGACATCCAGTTTACTTTATGACTTACAGATAAACTGTATATATCATAAATTACTAACTCTTTGTATTCAACTAAAATTGCTCTTACTATCTTAGTTATAAATATACCCGAGGCTTTTACGTAACATTCCATTCAGTAGAATAAGTTAGATAAAAAAAGGGAATTCAGTGAAGGAAATTTTCTTTTCGACGAAATCATTTATTTAAGTTGTATATTCGTATTTGTAGTTGTATGGTAAATATACATCTATATAAGGATAAAAAAGATTGCATCATAAAATGATTCGAGACTACAGTTATCAAATAAAGTTACGTAATAGTCAAGGGGTTAAAGAAGAATAGAAAAATGAAAAGAATTTACGCGTATGAATTATGAAAGGTAGTTGTCCACTTGATAGAAAAACGAAAAACATAAATGATCATAATAATAAAAACTGAATAATAATCATGAAAAATTGTTTAAGGATAATAATAACTGATTACGGTTTAAAATTACAAAACACTTAAAAAAATAAAAAAAATAACAAAAGAAAAACATTCTAAAAAAGGGAATTAGGGCCAAGGAAGGATGAGAGGTTACACGTATCGTTTTCTGCATTCAGAGTTCGTGCTTGAGTTGGTAGATTACCAATGCCCCAGCGACCTCCCTCCGATCCAAACTCTTTGACCATGTTGGTTACTTTGAAAGAAGATTAATTTGGAGCTATGTGTCTATAGCTGATTAAATGGTCCTGTATTGAACTAGATATTGTTTTACATTTACGGGTAGTGTTCTGAGATGCGTTTAAAAAGTGATTGTTTTGTGTGGCCAATGTAACCTACCCCACAGGGGCAAGTAAATTTATAGATGCACATTGATGTGACCCGAAGTGGACAGTTATCCTCAACACATTCGTGAATAATAGGCCGTGATGAGGAAAAAAATACGGAGTTTAGCCGAGTAGAACTTTTTATTCAGAGATTTTGAAATCCCTTCATTCAAGATTCCAGCAGCCGTATCTCCTTTAAATTCGATATTCATAAAAAGTTTTCTTATAAACTGTTGGTGCTTTTTCCGGACGTTGTCTAGATGTTAAGTTGGCCTACAAATGATCTTCCATTCCTTTTTTCAAGTAGTATTTTTCATCTCCATCTTTATTCTTACGTAACTATATTAGTTAATACTTTGTCGGTTGATAAATCTTTTCAACATTTTACACTTACTTTTACGCTTTATTGCGTAATTAATAAGTTTCATAACAATCTGTTTCGATTTCTTTATTTGGTAAGTTTATCAAATTTTATAAGTAATCTAATTGATCAAATTCACTTAGTATTGTTTACTTGAATCTTTCCATTGATCAGTCTTTTGTTGACATATATGAATCCAGGGCGAACTGCCTTGATATTGCCTTAAGTTACAAGCTTTATGGGCAAAGATGGAAGGTGGCTAGTAGTGTGATCCGGAATTCGCGTTTCGTCCTATTTGAGACTCGTCAGCTGGATGTGCCTGCACCTCAGAGTTGATGTTCACTTTGGGACTCGAACTCAGTACCGTTTGCTTCAAACGCCACCACGTTATCCCTTTAGCTACTGAGTCGCCCCGCTACACAAGAAAGTGGCTATCAGGATTCCGTAGCAAGTGGATAACGCGACGACGTTTGAAGTGAAGGGTATTGGGTTCAAGTCCCGGGGCGGAGGTCAACTCGGGATGCAGGTGTATTCAGCTGACGAGTCCCGAATAGGACAAAAGGTGCGTCCTGGATTCCGCTGCTAGTCAATATCCGTCTTCGACTATGATCTAATTAATTTTAACTTTTCCTAAGATGACGTTATTAATTGTTATCTTCATGAGTAACTATAAAATTTAAATTAATTTACCTTCATTTGATTCGTATGTATTGTACTGTTGATTGATTTTTATGAAAATTGTGTACAATTCGTTAGCAAATTTTAATCTGGCAAAAACTGAGAACTTTTCATGAAAACCGAATAACTAACTCATTCTACTTTAGAGGAATATTAAGCACTACATACCTGCAATCTTGGATCGAGTCAGCCAAGTTATTTGACAAAACACTTGTCTATTGGATGATATTTATAAAATATGTTTAGGTCTATAATATAAACTGATTGAAATTTATCGTATGTTATATTAATGACTCAACAGTATTGTACTCTCTATGGAACATAAAGATGTTAGTTGGTTGGTATGTGGTCGACTGGAGACCCTCAATCTATGGTCTGAATCAAACAGGACACATCGGTTCCCCCAAAATTGCTGACAAGTCGTAATCACGAGTTCCATTTGTCGAGAAACCCTAGTTCAGGTTCTCCTAAACACTATCTTTAATCACCCAACACAGTGCGTACAGTGTTACGCTACTTTGACTAGTGGATACATCAGAACTTGATCGGTAGTATCTAATGAAGACTAAGATCGGATGAACATCATATTTATCATTATTCAATGATTAATCAGTATAGACATATAGGTTGTTAATTGGGTCTCGTATGAATGAGTGAATACATAATATTAATGCTTCAAATAACAGAAATAAATAGCTATCCATTTATCCCTGGTTCTCATCACTTCTATAATTAGTGCCATTACGAGATGAAAATTTCCATCATGTAAATTAAGGATTTTCTAACTTGTATATTTGTTCAGATATATAATGAGTAAGTATTTATAAAAAAATATGCTTTTTAGACATATTGTTCTTCTAACTGGTAAATGAAACTTTTCAGTTTATAAAAAATATATTTGGTCCAGAGGATTTGTGTAGATTAGTTTATATCTAAGTTGCTTTTCATCATAGATTGAGATAAACTCTAGAATTTATTTGTCTAATCGATTATAGCATTTAGTTAAACCTGGAGCAAATATACTACATATGAATGCTCAAAAAATTAATTGAGTATAATCAGATATGATCAAATCGAAAAAAATATTTAGGTCTGAAACGTTCGCAATATGACTTTCTTCAGATATAATAAATGAATAGAATAGATGTGATCTAATTATTGAGCTTATGTGAATTCCATAAAAAAGGAGGTTTATATGAAACGTTAATGATGTACATTATAATTATCTACTCAGACTTATCTAAATTCATTCATTAGAAGAATTCTTTTGCGAGTTATATGATTTATTTGGTCGATTGTTCGTTAGCTAACGAAGAATGTTATACACGAAGCATAAATGTTAATTGCGATTACAAATTAAATTTACCGATAGCCATGTAATACAATACGCTATTTGTATAAATAATAGATTGTTTAATTTGATAATCATGCCATATGATGCGATCGGTTTAATCTATTTGCAAACAAATAATACCTGTTGTGTAATCTAATAAACATTCAGTGAACGTAAGTTCTGAAAATGTGTGTAATTTAAGAAAATGTAAGTTGATGAAATAAATTTTTAAAAATGACTTGTTCTACTTATTAGTAGTTTATTTTCAGACTATAAAATTATTGAAAATATAAGTTTTTCTAAGTTAATTTGAAAAAAGAATTACGAGAGTTATTTTAAAAAAAAGAATCTCTATTACTTAGGTACGTTCGAAATAGAAGGGTTTTAATGTCATTTTTTTCAATACAACTCATGTGTGGTTGGTGTTACTTGGATGACTATAAAAATGTCAATCTGTGACTTTAATACCACTCGACAATCTCCGCAAACCGCATATTTTGTAGTGTTAATTATATGTCCATTGGTGACTAACTTCGAGTGAAAATTCGTGGAATTCTAGTGGTAAGATATGGCCAGTAAGTCTTAATCATGTCCAGTGTCAAACTGTTAGCACCTGAGGACAATGGAAGGTGGTTGGAAAATGTGGATAATTGATTGAAGTTCGACATGTAAACCCTTAGATTCTAGATCAGTGATCTAAATATTAATTGTTCGATGTGAGACCGAGGTTCACGGGACTCGATAGTTGGTGGGGTTGTGGATGTTTAGTGATGAATGTCCTATACTATAACGAAGTGATTGCCTGGTTCTCGATGGTTGTTTAATTAAGATCATTTCATGATGTTAATTATCAGACCTACAGTTAGCTCTAATTAGCTAGCTTGCAAGTGACTGAACTTTGCATTTCTAAAATACTCAGATTATTATGTTAAGTTTATTCAAATATCTTTTTGAAAAATGTAAAACTCACTGTTATCAGTGTGTCGCCATCAACTTCACGTGTAATGACAGTTTCCGTAAAGCCATGTTTTTGTATATGTACCATTTTCTTGTCTGATTCAATAGTTACAATAGCCTATTAGACAGGAAAAATACAGTTAAATTAGATCAAATTTTGAAAATAAACGAAATAATCACAGTCTAATTTGAATTTTTAAAGTTAATGTATTAACGGAGGGACATGCAGACTACTGATTCGAGGCTATATAGAGTTTTAGCTGAATATTGCCGGGAAATCCTAGACTAGAATGTGACAACTATTCAATGTTTCATAATATTTAACTATCCTCCGGCTAATAAAGTCTGTAATAGAAGCTATTTTTAAAATAATTAAACTCAACGAGTTCTCATGTATTATTATTTTGTAAGCCTTAAATTTTGTAACTACAAGTACAAATTACTTTAAATGAACACCAATGAACAGCCCGACGAATTTATTTTTATAAACACCAAACTTGATCCTCACCATTCTACGATTGAATTACTTTTTAAATCCAGAGCAATTGTAGATTTCATACCTAGTAATTCAAAATGAGAACAATTCCAATATCTCTCTAGAGACTGACAATGATATTGAGTGATAGAGAATGTTACTCTAGAGAAATCACAAGATGCATATACCTACTACGTTAATACAAATGGTATATTGATTATTCTTAGAATGATAGCATAGACATATTGTCATTAAAAAAATGATTTAAAGTGTAGTAATAAAATTTTCTAACTCCGCCTTGAGTCCCTTTCGGGGGGCTACTGCCGGTCCCAAGCCCGGGTAAAGGAGGAGGGTTGGGCATGGGGTAAGCGTCCCCATCCCGTAGAAACCTAACTCGCTAAAAAAAACGCTAACCAGAAAAAATAACTCAAACCATTTAAACTCTGCCCTGGGAGTTAGAGGTAATATGACGCCTCAGGGTGAAAGCCGAGTTCCTTCGGAAGCCACGAGGCCGATGCCCCTTCTAACAACCAGAGCAACAATTTTTATAGGTACATGGAACGTCCGGACAATGTGGGAGACCGGGAAGACCAGTCAAATAGCAACGGAAATGAGGAGATACAACTTGGCAGTACTGGGAATCAGTGAAACCCATTGGACGCAAGCTGAACAACAAAGGCTAAATACAGGAGAGATGCTGCTATACTCCGGTCACGAAGAGGAAAATGCTCCACACACTCAGGGAGTTGCTCTAATGCTATCCAAAGTAGCACGAAATGCACTTGTAGGATGGGAATCTCACGGATCCAGAATCATCAAAGCATCATTCAAAACAAAGAAGGAGGGGATCACAATGAACATTATCCAATGTTATGCACCCACCAATGATAGCAACGACGACGTTAAAGATCGATTCTATGAGAGGCTGCAATCAATCATAGAGAAGTGCCCAAGAAAGGACCTCACCATTCTGATGGGAGATCTAAACGCCAAAGTCGGAATAGACAACACCGGATATGAAGACATCATGGGACTACATGGACTGGGAGAGAGAAACGAAAACGGGGAAAGATTTGCAAATCTGTGTGCATTCAATAAATTGGTCATAGGCGATACAACATTTCCACACAAACGTATACACAAAGCTACGTGGATCTCACCGGACCACACCACAGAGAACCAGATAGATCATATTTGCATCAATAAAAAGTTCCGAAGGACAATGGAAGATGTGAAAACCAGGAGAGGAGCGGACATAGCTCCAGATCACCACCTGGTTGTAGCCAAATTGAAACTGAAGCTAAAGAAGAACTGGACAACTGGACAAACAGCGCTGCAAAGGTTCAATACAGCCTTCCTTCGAGATACTGACAAACTCAATGAATTCAAGGTAGCTCTCAACAACAGGTTCCAAGCCTTACAGGATCTACTGAAGGAAGAAGAAACCACTATGGAGGATAGCTGGAAAGGTATCAAAGAAACATTAACTTCAACGTGTCAAGAGGTTCTGGGCCCCAAGAAGCATCATCACAAGGAATGGATCTCTACAGAAACACTGGACAGGATCAAAGAAAGAAAGAACAAGAAGACAGCAATTAACAACAGTCGAACAAGAGCAGAGAAAGTCCAAGCACAAGCAGAGTACATAGAAGCAAACAAGCAAGTGAAGAAGAGCATTAGATCTGATAAGCAAAAATACGTGGAAGAACTAGAAACGACGGCGGAAAAAGCTGCAAGAGAAGGAAATATGAGACAGCTTTACGATACGACGAAGAAGCTTGCAGGGAAATACAGTAAACCAGAGAGACCAGTCAAAGACAAAGAAGGAAGACCAATTACTGAGATTCAACAACAGCGCAACAGATGGGCAGAGTACTTCGAGGAACTCCTGAACAGGCCGGCTCCAATGAATCCACCGGACATCGAAGCAGCACACACAGATCTTCCTATAGATGTCAATCCACCAACGACAGAAGAAATCAGAATGGCCATCAGACAAATCAAGAGCGGGAAAGCAGCAGGACCTGACAATATACCAGCTGAAGCGTTGAAGTCAGACATCAAAGTAGCTACAAGCATGCTTCATCTTCTATTCAAGAAGATTTGGGAGGAGGAACAAGTGCCGATGGATTGGAAAGAAGGACACCTCATCAAGATTCCAAAGAAAGGAGATCTGAGCAAGTGTGAAAACTACAGAGGCATTACACTACTGTCAATACCGGGTAAAGTCTTCAACAGAGTGTTACTGAACAGGATGAAAGACGCAGTTGACGCTCAACTTCGAGATCAACAAGCTGGATTCCGTAAGGACCGGTCGTGCACAGACCAGATTGCGACACTACGGATCATCGTCGAACAATCAATTGAGTGGAACTCGTCACTCCACATCAACTTCATTGATTATGAGAAGGCATTTGACAGTGTAGATAGGAGAACGTTATGGAAACTTCTTCGACACTACGGAGTTCCTGAGAAGATTGTCAACATTATCCGGAACTCATACGATGGACTACAGTGCAAAGTAGTGCATGGAGGACAGCTGACAGACGCATTCCAAGTAAGGTCCGGAGTCAGACAAGGCTGTCTAGTCTCTCCCTTCCTGTTTCTTCTGGTGATCGACTGGATTATGAAGACCTCGACATCTGAGGGAAACTACGGCATACGATGGACAGCTCAGAACCAATTAGACGACTTGGACTTCGCAGATGACCTAGCCCTCCTATCACATACACACAAACAAATGCAGATAAAGACAGCCAGCATAGCAGCAGTCTCTGCATCAGTAGGCCTCAACATACACAAAGGGAAAACCAAGGTCCTCAAACACAACACGGAGAACAGCAATCCAATCACTCTTGATGGGGAAACTCTGGTAGATGTAGAATCCTTCACATACCTGGGAAGAATCGTCGATAAACAAGGAGGTTCAGATGCAGACGTCGAGGCGAGGATTGGCAAAGCAAGGAAAGCATTCCTTCAGTTGAAGAACATATGGAACTCAAAACAACTTTCAACCAATATCAAAGTCAGAATCTTCAATACCAACGTCAAGGCAGTTCTACTGTACGGAGCTGAAACTTGGAGAACTACAAAAACCACCATCAAGAAGGTACAGGTATTTATTAATAGCTGTCTACGCATGATACTCAACATCCATTGGCCGGATACCATCAGCAACAGCCTTTTGTGGGAGAGAACCAACCAGCTTCCAGCTGAAGAGGAAATTAGGAAAAGACGATGGAAATGGATAGGACATACATTGAGGAAAGCATCAAACTGCATTACGAGACAAGCGCTAACTTGGAATCCTGAAGGGAAGCGGAAAAGAGGAAGGCCAAAGAACACATTACGTCGGGAAATAGAAGCAGATATGAAAAGGATGAATAAGAACTGGAAAGAGCTTGAAAGGATCGCCCAGGACAGGGTTGGATGGAGAATGCTGGTGAGCGGCCTATGCTCCTTCACGAGGAGTAACAGGCGTAAGTAAGTAAGTAAGTAAATAAAATTTTCTGACAAGGTAAGGATTTGGTCTTGCAAAATGTGTTCACAAAAACAGTGATTACGTAGTTTCCGAAACACATCATATCATTTGGTCATAAAACTGTAATTTATTGATTTACATTTCGAACGTTAGTTAGTTCGTGATATTGTTTAATCATTATGGATTATTATCTATACTATTTATCTCATTTGACAATTCATTATCTACTGATTTCTTGCAATTCCCTTATAGTTACCTGTCAATGATGACAAAGTTACTTCAAATTTAGAAAAATCATAATTATAGATAGAGTTTGAATAGTTTGATATATTTAAAATAGTTAACACGTTCAAGTTGAATTCTGTTCTATTTTATTTTTTTCTCTTCCTATATTACCTTAGAATTCAATCTTATTCTCTGTAAAATGGTTATCAAAAATAAATTTGTGCTTCGTAAGTCTGGTAAATTACGTTGTTGGAAGGAAAAGTGTAAACTCCATTGGGATACACTTTAAATTATTTATGCAGACTTGGAAATAGAACAAATTACTGATCCAAAAAGTTAGTTGTCAGTTTGAAAGTAAAGATTAAAAATAAAAGGATTTATTCATTTCATGGATGACTATACTTTTGACTGACTGCTTAATTATCTTTCTCACTAACATTCATCACTTTTACGTATGTGACAAGTCTTCTAATAGCTGCAGACTAAGTCTACAAGACAACTCAAACATGAGAGAAAAGATGAGAAGTGTGAAAAGAACCCTTTACTCAAAGATTAGTTTATGTACAAAAAATCGAGGGTATTTAAAATATTTCAATTGGCCTTAAGATTCTGAAGGTTTTTGAAAACCTACTAAAATTAGTAACAGAATCTGTAGCCATCCAAACAGAAATGTGATATATGAATCTTCACTTTTTAAGTGTTTCTGAAAAACTTCTATTCAACGCTGATTGGATAAAAATGTATCCCAGCATTTCCAGATCCCCTCTAAACTTTTTCGAGGAATAATTTGGATCTTCCCAACATCTTTCTTCTTTCATAAAATAAAACTTCATCTTTTGATTTACTTGCCATATCAATATTTAGTGTTGTCTAAATGTTACAAAAATGGTTTTTAATGAATAGATACATGACTCTATCATTTCAGTCTTTATTTATTTTGTATATTCATATATGTTATTTAATTGGAGTTGCATTTTGATCATTATACGACCAGTCTCTTGGTAAATTGTAATTGGATAGTTAATCATTTAACACTATTATTATTATTTTTATTATTATTGTTATTATTGTTATTATTATTGTTTCATAAACAGATAACATAGAAGGATAAATATTTTTATTTTAGTAAAATAAAAGTGAATTAAGCCTATTTTAATTAAGTCAATTTATTGTCGTATTTAAATATGGGAATAAATTTAATTAAGCTAATATATCAATCAATGTTTAGTGGTAAGACTCAATGTAGCTGGTGGTTTATGAAATATCTTGTTTAAAATTTTTTTAAAGTTTACTCAAATTCACATAAAGTTGAATTTAAATTAAATGAATGTAAACTATTGGTTATCAACTCAGTGATCTAAAGCTCATGCGCTACCTGGAGAAATTTCAGGCCTATGTCCGAGTTATGAATACATACTGCTGATGAGTCCTATATTGAGACGAAGCAGTTGTCTTCAGTCAGTCAGTCAGTCAGTCAGTCAGTCAGTCAGTCAGTCAGTCAGTCAGTCAGTCAGTCAGTCAGTCAGTCAGTCAGTCAGTCAGTCAGTTACAACGTAGTACCAGGCACATATATGCATCGGTCTAAGTTGCCACAACTCATTAGCACAACAAGGTGAACACCGGTTTCATAGAAGTAGTTGATTCAGTGGTGGTAATATATAGAAGAAAGACTGTGTATAAGGAGATAGTACAGGAAGAAAGAATTAGTTCGTAGAAAAAATATATGAAGCGATTTTAATCTCATAGTTTAAAGGAAGACAAAGAATGTTTACACCGACGCCATTGTGATCGATTCTGAGTTATGCCACACAAAGTCTCCAAACATTGGTTACAGTAGTCACACAGACCCCAACCAGGTAGTCTGTATCTATCAAAATGGCTCAGACTAGAAGTTAGTAACTTCAAGCACTGATGCCACGTTTTGGTTTGGCCGCCATAGGTGACGTAAGTTGGCGAAAGCCAGACGAGCTTTTCGAATCCGTGCTGAGATTTCGTCAGTCTAGTGTTTCTTAGTTTTTGAAATTATCTAACAAAGATCAATTCGTGATATAAATCATAAAATTAAGTTAAATGATCATTACTAAATTTGTGGAATAATCACTATCCTTTTCAAAATTCATCCTAGTAGGATGAATAAGTAATTTCAATGATACTGAAAGCTTATATTTTGTCTAACAATGGTTAATACCTAGGCTGTAGTTCGCTTGACTATTGAGTAATCCATGAAGACATTTATCTTACAAATGTATAAGTGTTTTACCTGATTTTTAATTACTTTTATTTTGCATGAAAAAATTAATACGTGTGTGTATTATTTCAACAGAATGATGTTTTATTAATCATTTATTCTATCACTTGATATCAGTTAATTTGAGGAACTTGTGTGACCAATCTGATTCTATAGAGTAATCATTGCTGAAGAACATGTCACTTTGATGAACACAATGCATATGATAAGTTTCTTTCATAACATCATCATCAATTAGCAAGATTAACATGTAAATAACATAGCTAAGTTATCAGTTTCAGATCTGATGATGTAAGATTCAATACATGACGAGATTAGTGGTGTACATCGCTAACGAGTTTAACACTAAGATGAAATAACTATCACTTTTTTTTATTTTTTAAAATGTTCATCTTGGTGACGTTAGTCAACGATAAAAATTAACTTTAAACAGAACTAGTTATTTAATAAGAGATATTTACAAAATATATATTCAACAAACATTTTTACATAGATCGTAAATTTAACACAGTTAAATCTTATGGAATAAAGTATGGTAGACTATTTAAATAGTAGGCATATTTCTCACTTGATCCATTCATATTTATTATATTCATGTAAAAAAATGAATCGTTTGTCTAGTGAATAACGGCTCCTTAGTGATGATCTTTATTAAACAGGATTTAAGAGTTATGTATAAAATTTACGAACTACTAATAGAAAGAAAGATTTATCATGAAATTTGACACTAATAACATCGTTCTTAAAAAAAGGACCGACCAATTAGTATGATTTAATAAATCAATTAAGAACGGAGAACGAATTAAATGTATTAGATATTCGTACTTTATTACGTAATTAACAAAAAATTAAACATTCAAGATTTGAACTATGATCAAAAGCCTGTGTATTTATATAATTGAAATCTAATTTAATTCCTTTCACTTAAGCTCTATAGTCATTCATTTTTAACCAATGATAGACGATACTTCAACTGACTTTAGCTAGAAAACCATTGAAAGTTGGGAAATACTGTTTATTTATTTCGCTCTAATAAAAAGTTTCTTAACTATGTGTACTAGAATTCTCCATAAACAATTTCATACTACTAATAATAATGATGTGCTTTACTTGTTAATTAATTGTAGAAAAAAATTTCAGTAGTAGATATTAATTTTTCACAAGTTTCAAAGTACGTTAAAACAACTCTCCAATGTCTCAATGATTATCAACTATCATTCAATTGGTGTCATTTCGTTTTAATAACTATCTTTAATAGTGAAAGTTTATCAATGTAACTTTCCAGTATTTTGTTTTTATACACTATAGCTTAAGAATTAGAGAATGTAGATATTTGAATTTATTAAAGCTTGTACACTCCAAGTGTTATTTTGAATTAATTGATTGGTTAGGTATCTTGTTGTCTTCAGTTTTATACTAATCATATAACCTCTCAAGTCCACATACTTCATTTTATCATGAGGTGAATATGTGGATGTAACTACATCTATATCTACGGAGATCTATGTACATTCAATTGAAAAGTCGTAAATCAGATGATACACCGTTTTTAGATCCCATCCTCATTTAATCTAAAACAGGTATTTATATGTTTACTTTTTGGCTTTTTAAAGTGATTACGAATAACAGAATGACCAACTATAGACAATACAATGTTTAGATGATAGTGTTTTAAACCCATGAAAACAACAGTACTTACAAAATAGATATATTCCTCATTTAATTAATCAATCATATTCCAACAGAAGGATTATGCAAAATCAACTTCAATTTTACTGTCATGATGTATTAACTAGAATGTTGTAGTTAGATGTATATTTAGCTAACTCATTACTCGTAAAGGTTTGCATAATCTCTGAGAGAATACTTGCTAAATAAGTTAGAAGGTATCATGACCAGATGGCTAACTGGATGATGAGGTAACATCTAACGAAAACAGGCACAAAGATGAATTCTCAGTATAAAATTCGACATTGGGATACAAACAAATCTAGCTTATAAATCTCAAATAGAACAAAATGTATACCTAGGATCCCACTATTAACCACTATTAAAAAAACACAATGAACATTAATATTTAAATGAAATAAAAATATTTGTGAATCAATCATAACAGAGGAAAAAGTTGACAATCCTTGAATTTGATTTTTTTAAAAATTTTATTTTACTTACTCGAACGATTCGTCCATCAAATGTTAATTCTTCAACTTCTTGACCCAATTCAAATGATTGATCCAGTTCTTGATCATATATTATCATTTTTATGCGTACTTCATTATCATCCAAATCTATGATCATATTTGATTTCATTTTATTGATAACATTATATACATCATTAGGAGTTCCTGATTATTTTTTAAAATTGCAAATAAAAATTTTTTATAAGTAATCACCTAATTCACTAGACAATTCTTCCACATTGGAACTTTCAAGATATTTCCATGTTCCAACTAATTCAGTCATTTATTAATTAAAGTAATAGCTAATATAGAAAGAAAGTTTTAAGTTAAATAAATAGTACATTTAATTATTCGGATGACTTTATATAAATTTTAGAATTATGATTTATAATTTTACAATGAACGAATTTGGTTGGATTTTAATTCATATTACCATGATAAATAACCTTGACTTGTTAATTGAAATGAGGAAAAACATAAACATATATTCAAGTACTTTGTATATGTGTGTGTATGTATGATAGAAATGGAGGTTCATCATGTCGGTAATTATTAGACATTTGAATTTCAGAATAGATCTATATGTGTATTAGTTTTATTCAGTGTTCATTTTAATGAATAAATGAATAAATATTTTCAAGGATTGGTATCAAACAAAAATTTATTTTTATCATAGAGTCTTGTGAAGATTATGGAATTTTACACTTTACATCATAGGTTGACCTTAGTTATACAAGCACACTGTAAACCAGAAAGCAATGGATGGCTGTTGCATGTAAAATGTGGAATTTACAATACCTTATAATAAGAATCACAATATGCTTGCCAATAACTTATTTAGATATTTAAATCAAAAATTCTAGTGAAAAGCTGTGAGTTTAGAATAAATATTGCCAGTGACGATGGATAATGGTCACGCAATATTGTGATATGATTGTAGCTAGATGTGTAAACCACTCGATATTAACTCAGTGGTAAAGGGTAAGCGCTCTCCTTAACGCCTAAAGGTTCTGGTTTTGATCCTTGGTAGGGTATTGGATGCACACTAGTTAGAACTCACATACTAAAACTAAAGATCAGTCCAGTGCTTCCTGGTTCTCAGTGTTTGTCCCACTAAAATCCATTCATGATGTATACCATAAAAGATTTATTTTTCACAAGTAATAAATCTAAATTTGGATGAATAGGGATACGTTTCTCAAGAAATTGACTTGAAATCGTAGTGTATTATCTAACCTATTTTTCTTCAAATAGCCTCAGTTTATTACAAGCAAATCACCAGGGATTGTATCATAAATGATGAAGTTCAGTCTGATGAATCAAATGTTTCTTCTGAATTTATTTTTAACAATTACTGAAATAATCTAGAGAACCAATTTAAAGCAAGAGGTCAGTCGATATTTCTCTCGGCTCAATTTTGAACTCCACATCAATCTACACTCATTGTGTCACACAGATTGGTCCCATCGCATTTAGGTCTTATGCTAAGTATGATATCTTCAGACTAATGAGCTGGAACTCAATAATTTACGTTTCTAAATTCAGTTGATTTTGAGAAATTGTATGGTATTTCTGTAATGATACTGATAAAGTAGCAAATCAGGTCTCATAAAGTAGTTTGAATAAAGGAAGTGTGTACGAACGATGTGATTCAGACAATAATCTCTCAGGAAAGTCCAGTAGGTTAGAGTAACTAAATATGATAATTTGCGAGGAAAGCCGATCACTGAGGTGGGATGTATATGAGTGAAACAGTTATGTAAAACACTTTGACAAATCATTGAATAGACCACAGTTAGTGAAAATGATGGACATCGAGACAACACACATACGTTTCAACAAATATCACTCTACCAACAATTGACAAAGACAGAATAACCAAAAGTGAAATGAATATTGGGAAACCATCAGTAATACCAGACAACATACCAGCTGTAGAATTGAAGTCGGACACAGATGTATATGCGGAAATGGTCCACGCCCCATTTGAAAAGATTTGGTGACAATAACAGGTGTCGAAAAACTAGAAAAAAGGATACTTTAGGTGGGGTTTTATTCTCTGAGCTAGATGATTTTGTCGTGGATCATTCTTTACTCTTCTGAAAAGCACTTCACTTCTATCTGAAGTTTGTGCTGATGATCTTTGAAAAGACAATTAAAGCTACTCTACCAAACCATCTAGTTTAGAAAACAAATTTCCACCTAAATTATCCATCTGAGCTACAAATCTTCTCCATTAGAAGGATACTTTATCAGGATACCGAAGTAGAATTCAGCAAGTGTGGGAAATACAGAGACATTACAGTACTGTCAAGATGTTAACGTTTTCAATAGTGTTATTGAATCGTAAGATAGATTCAGTAGACGTCTAACTTAAGAACAACAAGCTGGAGTTAGTGATGGTCGACCATGTACTGGCCAATTTGCAACACTGAGGATCATTGTTGAATAATTGTCAATTGTAGCACACTCATCACTATATGTGAACATTGTTGACTATGAGAAAGGGATCGACATGGTGGATGGTAGGAGTTTGTGGATTGTTGTTCAACATGATGGAGTGTCTGAGGGAGGTGGTCACCATGTTATGGAATTCTCACAATGGATTACACTGAGAATTCATGCAGCTCACAAATCCATTCAAAATGGAGATCGGTGTAATACAATGCAGTCTACTGCCAAATTTTCTCTTTGATCTGATTGTCGAGTGGATTATGATGACCTCAACATCTGAGTAGAACCACACAAAACATTGAACAGATTGGATGCAACTGGAATGTTTGTCACATTGCAAATGACTCAGTGCTCATATCACATACACAGAAATAAATGCATTTGAAGAGAGAGCCAGTGTAGCAGTGACTTCCATATCAGTATGCATTGACATTCATAAGAGAAGAGGTGAGATGTTGAAATACAATACAGTGAGTACCAAGTGAATTGTGTTTGATGGTCATGTTGTGGAAGAGATGTGATCATTTACGTGACTTGTCAGTATCACTGATAAACAAGGTGGATTTGATATAGTTGTAAGGAGATGAATTGTTAAGTCAATTGTAGCATTTGTACACGTGAAGAATATCTGTAACTAGAAACAACTGTCACATAACACAAATGTCCGAATTTTCAATACACATGTCAAAACAGTTCTATTGTATTGAGCTGAACCTTGGAGAACTACTACAACCATCATCAAAATGGTACATGCATTAATAAATATTTGTCTACTGAAGATACATTAGATGCATTTGTTAGACGTCATCATGAATGATCGACTTTCAACTGTATGAATATTTTACAATTAGAAAATAAATAATTTAAAATATTTTAAGTGTACCGTAATTATAACAAAGAAGCATATACAAAATGAAATCTTATTACATTTAGCATTTAGAAAAAATTACCCATAAGTCTTGAAATGGAGATTGGGACTGTAGTTGACTTTCTTGAAATTATCAAACGAAATCATTGAGTTCTTAGTTATTTTCAATTAAAATTTTATTTTGTAGTAACAAAGAGAATGTGAATTTATTTATTGAATGTATTTATTAAACTATTTAAAAAAATTAAATAAAAGTAGTCTCTTAACTTTACCATGAAAATTTTAGTGTGCTCTGTTAGTAGAATGATTTAAAATCAACACTAGCTACGATCTATTATCTTTTTTAACAAACAAGATATCTCCTGCGGAAAACTAAACGTTTGTCTACTTAAACTACTTCAGATACATTTGGGAGATACTATCAGTAATAATTGACTATGGTAAAGAATAAACTAGCTTTCAGCTGAAGATGAAATCAGAAGAAAACATTGGAAGTGGATAAAACATATACTGCAGAAATCACTGAACTACATCATGAGGTAATCCTTAACTGATAATCCTAAAATGAATGGTAAATGTTGCAAATCAGTAAACAATTAGCATTGGAACTTGGAGTCAGACATGAATGGTATTTGTGAAAATCTGAAAATGAGATACTAGGACAGATTTGATCTGAACTCTATCCCTATTCAATTCACTCATGCTTCATGAATAGTAATAGACTTAAGTAAGTTATAAGTAGTATCATTTATATTAAAAATTCTCTCTACCTTATTATATTTATCAAATTAGATTAATAAAATAAGATTTATTAGTTAATAAATTAGAAATCAAATGTCAAACATTTAAAATTTATGCATAATATCATGTTTATAATAAATGTATAGATTCTCTTGTTTAAATTTTTATTATTATGAACCTTATCTCCTTATAAATTTTAATTCAATAATATAAACATAAAAATTTGTATTTAATTAAAGTATAAAAGTGTAATTAAAATGTTCTGATTGATTTTGTTTATATTAAAGATAACAATAGTAAATACATAATTAAGTAACGTGAAAACACATACATCAATTGAATGTATATAGTTTTAGTGAGAGAAAAACAAACAAACAAACAAACAAACAAACAAGCAAATACACTGTACATTTATTATTATTCTAATATTGGATGATTAGAATTTTTATAATATTTATGAACTAATACTAGACAAAATAACATTTTGATATTGTTTTTAATGGTCTAAGATCTGACTTCAAGTTGATTGTATTGAATAATTGCTATCGAAATGTATATGTTGCCTATTCTCGTATATAATGATTAACTTAAATCGCGTTAGTTAATAATGGAATTAAATAAGTCAAATAATGAGAATGGACTTTTGAATACATATATTTTGTATATGGAGCAAATGGAATAAAGCGAAGCGAATGGAATAGAGCGAAGGGAAGCAAATAGAATAGAGAGAAGCGAAACGACGAGCAGTGGAGATGGAGAGTAAGCCAACTCTATTTAACCAAGCGTTAATCAATATTTTTAGTCACATAAAAATAAGTTACAGACATGTGATGAGTAGGATAATGAATATATACACACATATATGCGCTCATATAAAAGTAGTCAAGATTGATAAGCGAATAATTAAAAAGGTCAAAATATGATTGAATTAGAATGAATGGATTGGCCTGTCCAAAAGCTAGAATGACAGGTATATGGGCTTAACATAATAACCAACACTACAGTTTTCTATTCATTTGATTAATTTTATATGAGAACATTGGAGATAAGTGATAGAAACTCATTTATTTAGGTTGTAAACTACTTAAATAACCATTAGTAAAGTATGTTATTACGAATGTTCGGTTAAATGAATCATAATCAGTACTTCTATGGAACTTCATTATTATTTGTAATGAAGCTCAGTGTTTATATTTATGAAATTACACTTTCATGAATCA